CGTCCTCCGCCCCTCGGGAGGCTGCTTTCCCTAGGAGCGACCACCGCCGCCCGGGTGGCTCGAGAGGTCCCTGCGGTGCGACCTGCCAGGCCTCGGGAGAAGGGAGAGCTCATCTTTGCGCCGGCTCTGCAGCCGCCCAGAGCCAGGGAGGACGACGAAGGAGAGGAACAAATTCTGGCTAAAAGGAAACAGATGGGATGTTCTTATCCCTTTAAAAAAAAAAGAACAGTTTAGAAAAAAGATTGACCCAGCAGGCACCAAAAACTAGTACTAGTGTTTAAAGCTGAGCAGGAGGTTTACAGGGTTTTGTTTCCGTGTTTTCATGCTTGTTTATATGTCCTGAATTTTGTTACTTGAGGACTTTTTTGTTTTGATTTTGGAAAGAAATATTTTGACAAACAGTCCATGTGTAGTTCTCAGCGTAACAGTGTAATTCTCAGGGGACAGCCCTGTCGCATTATTTGCCAAGGAAGGATCAGCCAGGATACCATGGCATTTCAGGACTGAACACCCAAAACTAGGATTTTTCTAATGAATGAATAAAAAGATCGAAGAAATGAGATTGCTGGTTAGATACAGAATTCTACTGTGCTGTGGACCACAGCCTTTGAGTGGAAAGAAAAATTGCTGGACTTTATCAGTGCCCTACAGGAAGGATAACTCTGACTTTCCAGATTGTGCAACGTCTGGGCTGTCGGTGGCAGTGGCAAAGTCCTGAAAGCGGCCTGCCGCGAGGTGATATAATGCAGGCCAATGGTGACTCCCTGGTCCCTTCTTGTTGGTCTAGGGTAAGAGGCATGTGGTTGTGTTAGGGAGCAGAAATAGACACAGAAGGAGAACTGGGCTCACCCCACATGGTGCCTCTGTGGTGGCCGACTGCTGACTCAGGGTGAGCGCGGCTGTGACGCTCAGAGGGGCTGTGCAGCTCTGCAGGGCCCCAGAGAGGGCAAACCAGCTGGCCCCTGGCAGCTGCAGTGGGAGCTGGGCTGCGGTGGCTGTTATGGTGACCTGGCTCCTCCCTCCCAGCTGTAGACCACACCCGGAGAGCTGTGTGCATCCTGCCTGTGGGACCACACCATCCCCTGAGCTCGGAGCCTGGTATCAACCAGGGTTGGTGGTTGGGTTTGAGGGTAGTAAGTGATCCGTATGTATAATATGTTGTTTCTGAATCTAGTGGCCCCTGCTCTGGGAGAGCTAGCAGGGCTTGCCAGGGTCCTGGCTCTGGTTCCTGCTTCTGTCCCTATCACTGGCTGCTGTCTGAAGTTCTTCCTTCTTTATAGTACTGTCTTATGGCTGGAAGGCAGCCTGAAGGACTGGGAGCCATTCTCTCTTCTAGCAAGCCGACCAGTTAAATATGCCAGCATGTGTCTCTTCACTCCCAGTCACACACCAGGGCCCTGAGAGGTTAAGAAACTTACTGTCTTAGCTTCTGTTGGCAAAACTGAGAGAGAACCCACTAAATTCGGCTGTTCTTGATGACCTAGTCCTGGCGCCCTGGGAGTCCCTCCCACCCCAACCAAACCAGACCCTTCCTAAGACAGCACTTGTGCTGGCTGCTCAGGGAGGAGGAGCCCGGCCATGGTCTTCAGAGTTGAGGCACAGGCCCCAGGGAAGCCAGGCAGCCTGGCCGAGAGCAGGCTGATTCAGTGGTGGTAAAGTGGGAACTGTGAGTCTGATCGGGTGACTGATGTGTGGACAGCACAGGAGGAATTTTGTAGTCAGTGTTTCAGTAATGAACAGGCTGTGCTTTTAGTGGGTTGCCGCTCAGTGCTTGGGAGTAAGGCCCCTGGCTGTCTCCTCTCCCATGCTCAATTGGCTTGAAGCAGGTCTGTGCCTGAAAGGGCTTGGGTTAGAAGGTACAGATCCACACTAGGGCCCAGTGCCCCAGCAGTCCCTGGGTACCGTGTCATACTTGGGCCAGGACAGGGTGACTCCCAGTTCCTTTGGAGATGTGCAGGAGAACTGGGTCCTGCTGCATTGTGACCAGTGATATGAGCCAAGGCCTTGGTGGGGGACAAAGCAGCCCCCTCCATTGTGTTCCCTCCGAGATCATCTCTGTGTGCCCTCAAAACACACACCAGGGCCTGCAGAGGCAGTCGGGGTTCCCCAGTCAGAGTTGCCACACAGTATAGCCTTCTTGAAGTGAGCAGGGATTTTGACTCCATGGCAGCTGTCAGATCCAGGAGTTTGGTAGGCACAGGTGTTACCTGCAATTGCAGTAGGCCCTAGGACTCAACTTGGTGGAGGCTCTTGGGCAGCAGTGTTTTCTGTGCCCTTGACCTGGTGGCCAGACACTTAGCTGAATTTGCATAGACAGACCACCTTGTGCAGTGCTCACAGCAGCTCTGTGCCTGCTGCTCAGGCTCAGTGAGCACTGGTGGCCTAGCCTGCAGGGGATGCCCTCCCTGAGAAAGGGTGCACCCTGCCAGCCAGAGACCTGGGAGAGGCTCGTAGGTGGCTGACTCTGCTTGCTCATTCTGAAAATGAAAGGCTAGAGTAGAAACGTCACTGGTTCCTTCAGTTTTGAGAACTTGAGACTCTGGCTTCTGCAGTTTTACAAGCCAGACAAGTCCAAACTTGGGTAAGTTTGACTGCGTGAGTACATGTTAGCATCTACTTCTGTGTGAACAAAGGTTTCGTGAGTGCTTCAGTGGGCCAGGCATTGTCTCCCAGAGGGGACACCCCAGCATCAGTGAGAGGTTGGACTGCTCATCAACTGGAGTGTTGTAGGAAGAGTAGTGGAGGAGACCAGGCTGCGTCGTAGCTTGCTGCAGAGGTGCTTAGCCTCAGTGGTAAGACCCCACTGGGGTGGGACAGCAGAAGAGCCTCTTGTGGGTGGAGGGCCTTTCTTCCTAGGAAAGTGGGTGTTCCCAGAGGACCACGGGTGTAGCATGGTGTAAGATGCAGGGGATATTGAAATGGAGCCCAGAAGATGGGTGACTTATACCCAGAGATCTGTAGGTCCAGGCTGAATTTGGGAAGCCCCGCCAGGGTCTCAGCCTAGGAAATAAATAACATGAGGAACAGGAGCACTATTCCTCGGACAAGCTTCTGATGTGAAATTTTGAAATGACCATGATGACCATCTCCTAGCATGGAGGCAGGGTGTTCCTAAGCCTGTTAGGAGTAAAGTATGAGGCCTGCTTTCTGTGCTCTCCAAGTGTTATTAAACTGAAGTTGTAATAGGAAGTAATTGTGAATAGGGAAAACATTTTAAAAATGCAATGAAAGAATAGACTCCTGTTTTCCCATTGTTGCAGAGATTTGTATCATTTCGGTTGACCTTATTCTTGAGTGGGTAAAACATCCATATGGCTCACAATATCTCACCTGCCACAGGCAGCCACTGTGAGTAGGAGAAAATGAGCTTTTGAAGCAGCAGTGGATACGCTGTACCCATGGCCCTCTGGTTAAATCATGCCTTGCACTTATGTGTGTACAGGACTTTCCTGCAGCTGCCATGAGAAGCGCTGCCCTGGAGTGGGAGCTGGAGAGACCAGGAGGAGTCTCCAGGCCGAGCTGGGCTGAGTGTCCCACCAGCAGGTGCTTCCCCTAGGAAGCTGTCTGAATCCCGTGGTCCAGGAGGGTGCCCTGTCCAGCAGACTGGTGCACAGGAGCTTGATGGGGTCCTTGCTGGTCCTCTGTGCATATCCAAGAGGCTCCCAGGATGCCTTCCTGGTGGATGCTGGCCACAATCCAGACCCTCTGCAACTCAACAAACAGAACCCAAGCACTCACACTTTCTTCAGTGCTTACAAGACCATCAAAGCAACCAGTGGTGGTGATCAGGCCCTGGACACCATCTCAGGTCTTACAGGTTGAGTCTCTTGTCAGAAATGTTTGGACCAGAAGTGTTATGGATTTTAGATGCAGTATCTTAGAGATGGGACTCAACACTGAATATGAAATCCATTTGTTTCATGTATACCTTATGCCTGCAGACTGGAAGAATTTCTATACAGTATGCCCAAGCTGGTCTCAAAGTCCTGGCCTTGAGAGATCCTCTGTCTCAGGTTCCCAAGTAGCTGAGACTCATGGTGCAAAGCATATAAAGTAATTTTCATTTTGCCTGTGATATGTCACACGTCAGGTATGGAATTTTCCACTTGCGGCATCTGTCAGCACTCAGGAAGTTCCAGATTTTGGCGCTTTTCAAGTTAGGAATGCTCACTCTGTGTTTTGTGGCAGACATGGCTTCAGTCCTATGGCATCTGCTGCTTTCTCCAGTGCTCATATTCTGTGCTTCTCCCAAGGAATCCAAGTCCTGGAGATTCTGAGGCCAGAGGGCCACAGCTTGGAGGTACAGGGTTTGAACCAGGTGCGCCTGGCCCTGTGCCCACACTGGGCTGTAATTGAGGTGCAGTGTGGGGCATGAGTTTTGCATTGCCAGGCAGTTTGGAGCCCAAGCAGCTCTGTCTCCTACAAGTGATGTGCTTTGGTAGAGCATCTTGTAATTACATGGAGGTGTCTTATCCTGTGGGCTTCAAATTGTACAGTTGATTGCATACTGCACAAAGCCTGAGCCCAGTGGTATCTGAGTCTGGGATTCTGTGGGAAGTGCATGGGCCATGTGTCCACATTAGGGTGTCCCTGTCCCCATTCTGTTGTCTAGGGTTTATTTTATTCATTCACCTATACTGCCAGTAGGTGCTGCTTGCCTTGTTTCTGTGTCTTCGTAAGTACATGAGAATAGACACAGAGTTCAAAGGAGTATTTCTTGTGTGTTTGCCTCACTGGGCAGTGATCATCCTCCCCAGTCAACATAGGTGAACTCTTTTTCTGCTGTAGGTTGAAGACGGATGCATGAAGGTCCCAGGGACTGCCTTGCCGACACTTCCCCAGGACAAGACACAGTGTGAGGGCCGGCAGCCCAGAATAGGCCCCAGGATTCCGTGGGTGTGTACCGAAGGATGATGACTCCTGCCAGCGATGGCACCTCCCAGGGCATTTTTGACCTGGACTACGCATCCTGGAAGATCCGCTGCACGCTGGTGGTCGCAGGCTTTGTCTTCTACCTGGGTGTCTTTGTAGTCTGCCACCAGCTCTCATCTTCTCTGAATGCCACCTACTGTTCCCTAGTGGCCAGAGAGAAGGTCTTCTGGGACCTGGCGGCCACACGTGCTGTCTTTGGGGTCCAGAGCACATTTGCGGGGCTGTGGGCATTGCTGGGGGACCCTGTGCTTCAAGCTGACAAAGCACTTGGCCAGCAGAACTGGTGCTGGTTCCATGTCACCACAGCCACTGGATTCTTCTTCTTTGAGAATGTGGCCGTGTACCTGTCCAGCCTGTTCTTCCGGACTTTTGACCTCTTCTTGGTTGTCCACCACCTCTTTGCCTTTTTGGGATTTCTCGGCTTGGTGGTCAACCTCAGAGCTGGCCACTACCTAGCCATGACCACACTGCTCCTGGAAATGAGCACCCCATTTACCTGCATCTCCTGGATGCTCCTGAAGGTGAGTATGTGTTATAGAGGAGTAGTCCCACCCATTCCAGAGGCTGAAGCATCCCTGGGGCCCACTGGAGGCTCAGCAGCAGCCAAATTACAGCTGCCTGTGCGATGAGACGTTCATCTGGCCAAAGGCCATTTTAAATTCCTTGGGCTTCCTGTTCTCTAAAAGAAAACTTGGATCTGATGATTTGTGGGTAGTGCTGTGTGCCCTAGAATACATACTTCCTTCGGTGCTTCAGAAATTGAATTAATATATACATGTACACATCTGTTTTTGCATTTTGGTTTTGTCCAAGGGTGGTGGTAACCATGTGCGAATGAGTAGATGGCCCTACTGCTCCTGGGCCTGCAGTCTCCACTGTACCCAGCTGTTTACCAGTGACCAGTGGTACCAGTGCCTAGCACAGTAATGGTCCAGCATTTCCTTCTTGTTTTTAAAAATGTATTTTTAAATGTGTGTCTTCCATATGTGGTCATGATGCTTATTTTGATGTCAAAATTTTCTTCATGTTAAACTTAAGATTCTTCTGGGGCTGGGGATTTAGCTCAGTGGTTCTGCCACCTGCCTTGCAAGCACAAGGACCCGAGTTCAATACCCGGTACCACACACATACACACACACACACACAAGATTCTTCTAATTAGCATAGGTTCTTGCCACCTGTCATAATGTGTTACAGGATATTTCATTCACAGGATATTTTGCAGGAAACTTGAAGGGCCAGGAATATTAACTGGGCCTTCAGGCAGGTGCTCTTACAGAGCCCTTTCCGGCCTCAGAACCCTGTGGTGGGCTTCAGGCAGGGAGACGAGTGTGACTTGTCATCCTGTCTCCAGTGCCAGTTGCCTGGATGGTGTATGTTCATTGAACATGAGTCCACAGAGTGGCAAGCATTTGTGGCGAGGCCCTGTTCCCAGCAGGCTAAGGAAGCACTGGAGATCGTCTGCAGTGGCATGAGGTGTTGGGGACAGAAGTGTCTAGGTGGACCTTCCAGGGATAAAGGTGGAAGCTGTGTGTGACCCGGCGGTCCGCATTGGGCTGGTGAATGAAAATGCAGCGGCTGGCTAAATGTGAGGACATTTTAGGGGAGACACTGGACCCAGGCCCCATCAGCATCTTGAAGAGTAGGGCATTGGGATCCAAGGATCCCCCATTCTCAAAGTCTCACTCAGCTAAAGGTGTAAATCAGTGGAGAACCTACGGCACATGTGCTGCAGTGGGCTGTTTGTATATTAAAAGCTCTAAAAGGTTCACCATCATGAATATAAATCAAGACAAGAGTGCTCCACTGGTTTAAGATGGGCTCTAAGGCAGCAGATGACTTATCCTTAATATTTCCAATGTTTATAATTAATAGTAAATAGATGACATAGGACTCAATCCTCTAAAGATGAACATTCACGCCATCAGTAGTACAAATGTAAATGAGCTAATAGGGATCTGTTTTTGCACACTTACATATATGTGCAGATGTGTTTTTTATGTGTGCATGTGTACATGTGTAGATAAGAGGTGTGCAGTGATACCATGCTGCATGGTCTTGCAGCGTCCATCTGTGGATTTTGTCACGTGCCCTGTCCTTCCTCAAAGCATTTGGTAACGCTGACTCTAAAAGGTTTAATTACTGCCTGAATAGTGAGGCCAAAGAGCTCTCAGTTCCCAGCCTTTGGGTTTTCTACATTTAATCACTGAGTGGCAGTTGCAGTTCCTGTTTCTGATGTGAATATTAAAAATTGCAGACAGCCCTGGCAGTCATTGAGGAAATAGTGGAGAAGATCCCTTGAACTGTGACCTGTGGGGGAGTGGCCATGGCTGTGAGAGCCTCGCTGGGACTGGAGTGATGTGGAGGTGACGCGAAGGACAGGCGGTGGGGAGGACAGTCACTGAGTACCCGCTTCACAGCTGGCGCGTGCGTGTTGGTAGAAGGTTCTGGGGCCCGTGGGGGCAGACGTGTATGTGGCTGGGCTCTGGCAGAGGCATGGTGACAGGAGGTTCTGGAAGCTGGGGCCCGTGGGGGGCAGATGTGTATGTGGCTGAGGACAGTTCTGGAACCCAGACAGATGGTACCGTGGGTATTTCCCTGGAGCTGCTCCCCACCCTTAAACTGTGTGGATGTGTGCCTGCAGCTCTGATGGTCCCTGTGTTTTCTTTCTCTGTGGAGCAGAACACGCACATACACCAGCCCATCTGACCTCCCAACCCAGCTTCTCCAGCATGGGACTGCAGAGCAAAGTTCATGTGCTGCTCAAACAACAGATTCCTCCAATGCGTCCTGGGGTCAGCGGACCTCAGCCAGGTCTCTGTCCACCCTCTGTGTTCATGACACAGGCCATGAGTCTTCCTGGGTGGGCACTCAGGTGAGGCTCCATCTGGGGAGCAGACATCGAGACCATTGCTGTCCATGCTCCAGAAGCACACGATGCCCAGGGCCTGACACAGGACATCTATACATAGTGCATGCACCACACAGACACGCAAGTATTTCTCAGATAACCGAAACTGCCAAGAGCAACCGCAGGAAGGACCTGCTTCTGCTGTAGCCACACTGCGCCCGAGCCCAACACATGAGTGTGTGCCCCTTGCAGGTCCCAGCTGGCACGGCCCATGTGTCCATGCCTCGCTTCAGTCCAACCACACCCCGCCTGCTGTGTGACCCTCAGATTTCCTGCCCTGTCTGATCCGGGTCTCCTTGTTGGAAGTTAGAGTGTTGTGTGAAGACAGGTCAGGTGCACACAGTGGCCACAAACAGGACTTACTGTGGTGCCTGCTCCCAGCTAAGAAAAGCTGCTTGTTTTGCTTCCTCGGTGTGCTGATGACTGTTATCACCAGGATGAGGGAAGAGCCTGATAGATATGATTTAACGAGGGAGACACATGAGGTGGTGTAAATTCACAATATTGGGGACAGCAAATAAGTTACTTGTTCTCTTGTTCTGTCCCCCTTTTCATCTCCACGGTCTCACTCTTGCACCAGGTCTGTGCTTTGGCTTGTGTTGGAGCTGAACGCACTCACCTCAGGACACTGGGAGAGCAGCAGTCCTCTCGTGGGTTGTGTGGCAGCAGACGTGGCTCCGTGTCCTCTTTGCTTGAGGTCCCCAGGTGGCCCTTCCCCCCAGGCACCAGCCGCACCTGCCCTTGCCTGGCCTCAGGGACAGCTGCCCAGTTTCCACTGCATTTCAGGGTTAGCGTGCTGGTCCTAGTGTCACAGGGGTGTGACTCCCAGCTCACGGGGTGTCAGATGTGCCAAGCTCATGTCCTTTGATAACCGAAGACTAGATGGGAGGACAAAGGTGAAGAGCAGGATGGGTTTATTGAGAGAGCTCCTGCAAGACAGGAGTGGGCCCAGAAGCGAGTTACCACGGAGGCTCTTTGTCTGAGGGTTTCATGCATGAAGCTGACCACACTCAGGCCGCTCTGGGCCAAGCTGAGGCTGACTGTGGGGTACAAGTGTAGTAGCTTAGCTAATATGGAGCCAGTAGGGAAGCGAAGCACAGAGTGCAGGTATATGGTAGGCATCACTAACTTCAGTTTATCTCTAACTTCTAACATAGAAAGGTCAAAGACAGCTCGGGGAAGGGATAGAGCCTTGGTCTGGTGTTCTGGTTCCCCACCTGTGCATCTGATACCCTGGCTAGGTTCATTGGACCAGGTGGTACTGATTACAGAGGCGTCTCAAGCTGCTGTCTGTCTCTGGGGAGGCTGCAGACTTAGCTCCCTTCCAACAGTTCTCGTGTGTCTCGTGTGCTGCATGCACTCCGCTGCGGCCCGGTCCCTCTCTGACTGCCTCTTAGTTTCTGTCTAACTTAACTGTTGTGTGCTGGGAAGTAGCTGTCCGTGTCTGCAGCCTGGTGGTGATTACAGGAGATGGAGCAGCTGCTCCCTGAAGTGCCGGCAGCCTCATCCTGGAGCCATGGTCTGATGTATTGGGTACCCACGTAGTTCTGGCTGGGGCTGCTGATGCATTTCCTTGAAATGTAGTGGGACTTCAAGGCAGGTGCTTTTGACCTGTATCCAAGGGCTACTATAGTGAAATACTAAAGTAAGACCTGGTTTTCATCCTAAACTCTCCTAGGAGATTCTGCTCTCAAGGCCTAAGTGTTGCTAGATAAATAGAGCTTAGGTACTCTGTGTGCAAGTTAAAGATGAACAAAGGATTGAATTTTTATTTTGGGAGCAGGAGTCAAGAACACCAAGGGAGCCAGGTATGATGGCCCATGCCTGTAATCCCAGCACTCAGGAGGCTGTAAGGGCAGCCTGGGCTACATAGTGAGTTCAGAGCCAGCCTGGACTATAAAGGGAAACCCTGCCTCAAAAAAAAAAAAAAAAAAGAAAAGCAAGAGGACAGGCGAGTTGCCTTCAGGACCCCCACTGTGGCCCAGGCTGTCAGAGTCCAGGGTCTGTCTGCAAGACTGAACCGGGGCAGCGGGGGTGGGGGCGCACATGCCTCCCAAGTTGACGTCCTCGTCTGCTTCGTCCGCAGGCTGGCTGGTCTGCGACGCTCCTTTGGAAGGCCAACCAGTGGCTGATGATCCACATGTTCCACTGCCGCATGGTCCTCACCTACCACATGTGGTGGGTGTGCTTCTGGTACTGGGACGGCCTGGTCAGCAGCCTCTATCTGCCTCACTTAGCTCTGTTCCTCGTCGGGCTGGCCCTGCTCACGCTGGTCATGAATCCATACTGGACCCACAAGAAGACCCAGCAGCTTCTCAATCCCGTAGATTGGAACTTCGCACAGCCAGAAATGAAGAACAGCCATCCAGACAGGACCAGTGGCCATGTGCTGCAGAAGAAGAGGCCATAGTGGCCGTGGCCAGGCAGGCTGTGGTGCCTGGTGGCAGGGAAACACAGATTCTGCAAAGCTCCAGGAGAGTGACTTGGGAAGGCGAAGCAGTGTGCGTCTGGGTTCAGCTCTAAGCCAGATACTTTCTCTTCGGTAGTATTCATGGCAAAGGAGCCACAAAGTGTTAATAAGATCTTGATCTACCCTTAGGAGCGGGTCTTTGTCAGCCCGATCTCCTGTCTGCCCTGGCCTGTTCCTGTGGGCCTGGCCTCAGTGAACCGTATTTGACCCCTAGGAAAGGAGTCCAGTGGTGGCAGCAGGCATGCAGGCTGCTGAGGAGGGTGGAGGTAGTTGGAATACTTGAAGTGACTTCATACAGAAGTGCTGTGGCGGTGTGGTTGGGTCTGCTCTGACCCTTCCTAGTCACACACTCACACGGTCTCATTCAGAAGTCATTCCTTCTTAGTTGGAAGGAATTGGCTTAAGGAAATAATGTGATTTGTTAGCCCTCATTAAATCCCTGGGCATGGAATGTTAAAACCAGGTTGCCCCCGTGCCCTTTAGTGTCAGGGGCCATAAAGGTGTCGTCATGGGGCCCCAGCCCTCCAGCAGAGAGCCCTGGATTTCACCCTCCATGACCCGGGTGGCTGGGCAGTTGATTCAAAATCCTGTAAATCAGAGACCTGTTTTGAAATGAGGATTTTAAAGTTGAAATTGTATTTCTTGTTGACAGAATAATATTTAGCTGATTAGATTTGTCTAGAGTTGAGAGACATTTTGAATTACAATGCTGTAAATGCCCAGAGTAGACCTGGATTTCCCAACTAGTGCTTCTCTGCTGATTCCAAGGCAAGGCGGTGAGGAGTGCTTCCCTGTGAGCCCAGCACCCCTGGCAGCAACTGCCTGAGGAGGGTCCCAAGCACACTGTCCCCTGGCCAGGGTGATACACCAACCTGGCAGTGTTGTGAGCAGATAGTGTTACTTGCCATGGTGTACAGTTAGCATTCAGATTTATTTTCATCAGTCGCACCTTTGAAGACGTGTTTGCTGAAAATGTGTTTGTTACCTCTGAAAATCATGTATCATGTGGCTTGTGTCACAGGACTCTCCAGGTGGCACATTTGATGACCAGCACTTCCTTACTCACTTTACATGTTCGAGACGTGTAACACTTACTTATCTGAAGCTAAGAAGTTATATGCATTGTTCCTGCTGAGATGGTTAACCAAAAACCTGGTCACCCCAGTGGCTGCTCTTGCGCCTTCCCCTTGGGAGCCTGCGGTACCTGGAGGCTTTCCACTGCCCGGATGTTTAATAAATAAAGTGATCAGTGTTTACTGAGCCTGGTGAGGTGTCACTGTTCTCTGCTAAAGTAAGCTTACCTTCCTGTGCATATCCTGGGATGTTTTCTTAGAAGTACAGAATGTGACAGCCAGCCTTCACTTGGGATTCCCTGGACTGAGGGCTCCCCAGGGTTCACCCTCTGCATCCTTTTTCCTCCAGATGTCATTTGTGTGCACAGCCTAGAGTGCCTGCCTCTCAGGAGCAGGGACGTGGACTGTCCTGCTTGGCTGTGGTGCGTTCTCTTGGCACTGTGCTTTTTCTTTCAGTAGAGAAATATTTCCTTCTATCCATGGTTTCCCCAAAGCTAGCCAAGGAGACGAGTGACACAGCAGTGGGCGGGTGCGTGTCTCTGGGCAGGGAACTGGCCGCCGCAGCCCATGCCATGGCAGAGCTGCTGGAGCACAGCTAGTGCAGTAGCTACTGTTTCCTTTCACAGAGTCCTGGTCACTGCGCCGGCAGCACCGTGCAGGGAGAGCTCCAGTTTCAGAGAAGTGGGGGCCTGAGTGGGCGGCTAAACACGTGCTTCCCAGGAGAGGGGGCCATGGGACGGATGTACCACTGTTCCTGGCCCTGCTGTTCTGACAGCATCCGAGCCTGTGTCCCTGTGGTGAGGCTGAAGTCCAGGGTCAGGCCAGCAGGCCATGTGCTGGAAAACACCTGGGTGGCTTGTGCGGCTGTGTCTTCCAGTAGGGGGGCAGCTGTGTCCTCAGCTGGTGGAAGGAACTAGAGGGTGAGACACCTGAGCCACTTCCTACACCCTCGGCCAGTGTCTGCATCCTGGTCTCTGCTGTTACAGTGCAGCCACTGGCAGCGTGGCCTCGAGGGTGCATCAGACCCTAGCACCAGACACAGCACAGCCTGGGCCAATCATCACAGTCCCACACAGGGCTGATGCTGGCCTCGGTCCCTGACTCACTTGGCACCCACTGTGCTCAAGTGGACGCGTGGGTGGCTGTTGGTTCTGCCTGGCAGAGCCCGAGGGGTGCCTGAGAATGTTTGCCCAGCATAGATTGACCAGGATAAGACAGGGTCACGATGGGGCACCTGGTGAGAAATAGCCCGGCAGGAGGAGGCCTGTGGGGCCCATGCAGGCAAGCTTGGCCTTCGACCCTGGGGTGTGGACATCAGCGTTTCTGACTGCATGGTTGACACGGAAACACTTATCTGTGTCTGTTTCTGGAGTGAGGGGCCCTGCACAAACCCCATGTGGACACCTGCAGACAAGTGCCGCAGAGAACTCACTGCGTCAGCCTCGAGGCTCACCCGCCAGCTACAGGAGTGCCTGCCGCCTTTGTCAATGTGCAGTCCACTGACTGTGCGCATCCCCAGCTCAGAGACAGTCTCGGGACACCTCACCCCGTGGCGGCCTTGGCTCACATCATAAGATGGGATGTGGGTGGGTGCCCCGCCGTGCAGAAAGGGTGCTCCCACACTCTGCTGGTTCCTCTGTTCCTCAGCTGGGACGCTAGGTGCCGGTTTCTTTTTTTTTTTTTGGTACTGGGGGTTGAACTCAGGCCCTTGTGCTTGTGAAGCAGGCAGCGGAACCACTGAGCCGAATCCCCAGCCCAGGTGCTGATTCCATGCTGAGGCCCTGCTGCCTTTGTCCAGGAGGTCAGCGTGGGCCGGAGGAGGAGACTGGGGCCAGGCCGAGCCCTGCTCAGTGCCGCTCACAGCCACACCGGCTCAGCTGCCCGGAAAGTCAGCAAGATCACGACCAGCTTCATGCACTTGTGTGAAAAGTCTCCCGTGCTTCTCCCCATCTCTCCGTTTCTGGTTTGCTCCACTCTGAGAGCTGATTAGTTCAGTATTCCTCTCAGAGGCTCCTTTCTTTGGTAGCTGACATGTACTGTATGACTGTCTTGGTAACAAGTAGTTTTTTCCAGTCATGTTTAAAATAGTGATATGAAAAATCTAGAAATCTCAATTTTATGATTTCTAATGACTGCACCTCTCGTGTCTGGAGTTGAGTCCCGGGTTGGGCCTGGCCCCACTGTGTCCTGAGCCTGCCAGGATCTGAGCGGGAGAGCCCCCCACCCCTGGGTGGCCTGTCCCTGCATGCGAGCTGTGAACTCACTTCTGTCCCTGTGTGAACTTTTATCATCACACTAGTTCACATTTGGCAACCTCATTATGATGCTCAGTCTGTTGCAGCCTGAGTTTCCTATTAAGTCAGTTTCACACTGGCAATCCCAAACCAGCCAAGAGTACAAAAATTAACCCGAAATTAAAATCTCCAGTTATTACTGAAAGTCATTGAACATCAAGTCTTTCGATCTGAAAAGTCCCTGCCAAAAGTTCGTATAGAAAACTTTTACAATCCCTTGAAACTTCCAGTAAATTCTGTGTTGTTTTAAAAAATAATATGTGTGACATACACAATCCCATTGGAATGCAGCACATTGCAGCCTCAGCTTCTTCCACATGGAATTTGTCGGCATACTTGGTCCACCCCTGAGCCCTTCTGGGCAGGACAGACGCAGAGGACAGGCCTGGGCCACAGGAGGGTCTGCGGCAGATCGCCAAAGCGCTGGGACATGGACCCACCCTGCCTGCACCTCTGGAATGCATATAAAGCCTGTGGGCCCTAAAAATCTCATTAAAAATGAATTTTTACATTTTGATTTGGAGCTAGACCCATAGACAGTAGCTGGGCTTGAGCCTTGGTCAGTTTGCTCACAGAAGTTTCTTGGCTGCCTGCAGTCCTTGCTGCACATCCTGGGCCAGCCCACAACCTTGCAGGGGCACAGGGAGGGTGCCTTCCTAGCAGACAGCCCATCCTGGAGGGCAGCGTCTTCTGCTTCCTCCTCCTGTTTGCTGAAAACACAAGCACCTGCTCTCATCACCATGGGTATGGGGGAGGTAGGAGACCCAGGATGGAGGGGCAAGTACAGGATGCTGGTTCCTGAGAAAGGCTGCGGCACGCCCTGGAGGCCACACCACCCTGCAGGTGGCCTTGCCTGTGGCAGTCGTCAGTGTGGGCAGCCTGTCACCAGTGTCAGCCTCATGTCTGCGGAGGGCATCCCCAAGGTGAACTGGATACCTCTGCAGGCTGCTGGCCAGGGCTCATCTCAGGAGTCAAGGCCCAAAGAGCTTTCATTGAAATGAATTCTGTTACATTTTTGTTGTTTTATTTTGGATGGATTTTATTTTTCTTTTTGACATAGACTGGAGCCCAGACTGGCCTTGAACTTATTCTTCTCCTGCCTCAGCCTCCTGAATGGCCAGGATTATAGGTGTGCACCACCACGCCCAGCTTGAAGTAGTCAGGAAAGTTGAGGAAACAGAAACAAAAACCACATAACCATAACATACTCTTGACCCAGATTTATCCATTTGTAATGTTTTGTTACACTTGCTAAAGCTGTTTGCTGGCCCCTCCATACCTTCCTCCCCTTTTTTCTTCCCTACTTAACTTCACAACTCTTTGCCTCTTTTTTTTGGAGACAGCCTGGGGCTGCCTTCATAGTGGGCTCAAACTGATCCTCCTGCCTCAGCCTCCTGACTTCTGGGATTACAGTTACATGGCACCATGCCCGGCCTCGGGTCCCTTCACTCACACTTATGTTTGTTTCCTAGCAATGGGAATAATCTCTTATGCAACCGTATCAGTTCAGAAGTGGAAGTCACTATGTTTACGTTCTAACTGACATTTTCCTTTCGAGCCAGTGTCTACTGGCCCAGGACTGAGTTGGGGTCTCACAAACAGTATTTAGCTGTTGTCTCTCTAATCTCCACCTGCTGTGGCACCTCAGCTTCCCTGTCTCGACGCTGCTGCTATTGAACAATCCCAGCTGTATACTTACAGGAGGGCCCGCTTCTGGGTGGCCCAATGTCAGCAGGCTGGAGTGGAGCTGTGCGTGTTTGGGTAGAGCACTGTGTCCCATGATCTGTACTGAACATCAGACCCAGAGCCCTCAGCCTAGCTGCCCCTTCTTGGTGGTGTTCCTTTTGGTTATGTGACCCGGTGTTGTCTGCTCGCCCTGCCGTCCACACCTACACAGGATAGCTGCTCCCCGCGGTTAGTGAGTGAATGGGGAGGCCAGGCGAGGCTGCAGGAACACCCTCTTCCTCCATCAGCCCCCACTGCAGCACTTTAGATATGAGCTCAAACAAGTCGATTTGCACCAAGATGTTCACGCAGTAATTTCATTTCAAAGCTAGTGTTCCTCTATCATTGGTATCTGGTGTTCCAGGGGTGCATTGGAAGTGAGGTACAGGGTGTGATGTGCTTATGCGCCTGCATATGATCACTGAACACCATCCTCACGGATGAGTACAGGGTCCTCACAGCTATGGGGGTGTGGTGCAGGGCAGAGAGGAGCCTCTGCCTCATGACGAAGGGAGACACTCACCAGCAATGGCGCAGAAATGCAGAGCCAGCATGAACAGCCCCACCAGCACTTGGTACCATGTGAGTGTCGATGTCTGTGCCAGCTGTAAGAGGTGTTCTTAGAAGGGGACAGCTGGGCTTCCTCCGGGAAGCCGGGAGGTGGGCCTCGCAGACATAGTACTGCCTCAAACTCAGTTCACGTAACGCAGTATTTGCGTAGAACCTACACGCATCCTCTGGATACTGTAAACACCTCGGATGCAGTGGCGATGCTGAGTAAACACGTGTTGCACTGCATCATTTAGGGAGTAACCATAAAGAAACAGTTCTGTGGGGGTTCAGCACAGGTACAAAAATTTTTTTAACAAATGTTTCCAGTTTGGGTAAATCTGTGAATGTGGACCCTGGAAATGCGAGGCAAATTATGAATATCTGAAAGAATTGCAAACAGGTCTTAAAAGAGCTCAGAGAATTCCTCACAATAGCTGGGAGGTGGAAGCCACCTGTGTCCTCAGTGGCTGACCAGTAAACAAAATGCGTGGTGCACTGCAGAGAACCTCACTCAGCCTTGAAAGGGGGCACATTCTGACCCTGACAGCATGGGTGGACCTGAGCACATCGTGCTGAGAGAGGAGGTGGTCACA